ATACGCCATAGAATGATAGGAAAAGAGAGAGAAGAAGAATCTCATATAGATCGAAGGGGACAATATAGTGAAGAAAAGGAAAATATGTGTTACACACAGATTTTGAAAAAACTAAACATTGTTATATATGATAGAAGATGACTAATGACAGAACACATTGAAAATGCCGATAAAACCGGAAAGGAAAATAACAAGTGTGCAGTGAGTATATCATTATCGAACAATAACTCAGTCCATTCACAATACAAATACATCTACTTAACGATAGTGACATGGAATTTTTTACATGAACTAATATGTTGTATAACCTTCCTTTAGAAAACAATATTCTATATCTTGATAAGGAAAAGAAGTAAAACAGTCAAATCTCTATCAGTATAATAGATGGCAAAATGACGTCAGGAAAAATAATTTTCTAACTTTTTAAATGCATTTTGATGATCTGACGAATTTTTTAATATCCTATATTAATGCACTTTAGGAGCAAAATAAAAATCTTCAAGACTTTGAAAGAAAGAGATAGGAACTGAAATACCTTACGGGCTTTTACTAGAGGACTATATAGAATCTATATATAATTACAACAAATGATAAATTTTAAGTCATGTATGAACACTTGACCGAATCATTTTTAACCTATATTTATGACAGAACTTTCTATTTTATCCTTTACACTCATTTTTCGATCACCAAAAGAGAGCTGGTATTTTATCATTCGATTGTTTCAAAAAGTTCAAAATACAATTTTTGTTCAATTTTGTATTTCGATCGAAGCATAGACTTTTAGTTCTATGAAATTCTGACTCTATCAACGCACATATAGGAAGATTTACTTGAAAATAATCATTGTCTGAATATAACAAGAAATACTTAGCATCTAATAGATTTTTTCTATATAATTAAAAATTATTATAGTTATTTTCTTATTAGATCTCGTCTCGAAATCAATGATCAAGTTTTACTTGTTACATATTATATATGTAAAAGGTTTTAGTCAATCATCTGCCACTAATAGTCATTCAACAGTATATATTCAATTTTCATTCTTCATCCGATGAATCAAATCTTCATTGATTAGTATTATAATAAATATTATTGGTTGTAAAAATAATGCTTCTTTCACATCATAGTATCTATTATAAGTTTAAAGCTTTCAAAAATGACCTTATCATCAATGTCGACAATAATGCATATTTATCGCTATTTTCTATTGCGCTTTTGTTATCTAGGCATTTCCATCTAATCGATGCTGAAAAAATTTAAAGAGCAATTTAGCAATGATCATTGAATTTCCTCATCCTCTTCCTTTTGCTTAATCTCCTATCATAATTTTTGTTTTCTCAAACCATGTACCTCAAAATACTTATATTGTATTATTTGCTCTAGTGAGAACCGGAAAACTTTCTTCTCACTCTTTATTAACTTTCTGTTTTATTAAGCAAATAATACGATTTCTTTAGAGAGCTAATAATAATCTACTAACATATGAGAAAAGAAAAAAACTAATCGACTCAAGGTCTTCTTTGCTATTCTATTCGACTAGTAGAATTAAATCAAAACTCTATCCATTATCTTTCGACATAATGAAAAAAACAAAAGAAATGATATTTTTCTCCATATATATATATATATTGTCCTTATTATATTGTTTGTTCATTGATTATTGTCTAATATTAAACGATGAATATACATAATAAAAAATTGAAATTTTTTTCTTTTTTCAAAGATAAAAAAAATATGCTTAGACAAGATTAAGACAAAATAATACACATACAAAACATGACACATGCGACAGTGTACTGGCTGTAAAAGAAAACATTTATATATATATGTATAATAAACAAGAAAAAAAAAGTAATAATAATAATAAGTCCATTCGAATTAAGACGATGACGAAAATCGACATGGTGAGAAAAGTATTTTGGCAAATGCTTTTCGAAATTCCAAATTGAAAATTGTATAAATAATTGGATTTAAAAATGAATTTATATAACCTAACCATACACATAAAGATAATATAAAATCATTAACAAGAAATGTACTGGATTTTTTTGATAACTTAACAAAAGCATTAACTATATTATTGAGCACAAAGAATGGTAACCAACATACTAAAAAGCAAACTAAAAAAGAAAAGAAAACAAAATTAATTATATAATCCTAACTATTTTACAACTATGAAAAATTCATGACTTTTCTAATTTTTGCAAGTATCGACAGGAAATGACTCCTAATCTTGAGAAATTTTCGTTTTTCTTCAGTAAAGTTTCAGCGTTTAATTGTTTCTTTTTGTTGTTTTCCAATTACCAGAAAAACTCTTGACACCATTTGCCCTTCCCGATGACCTTGAGACATTCTTGAGTATTTATTTTATAGAATTTCATTTGAATATAAATTGAAATCTTGCTTTAATACTCATCAAATTTAATATGAAATGTGAGTTAATTTAAAAATTTATTGTAATCAAGTAAAATTATCTCTCCTAGAAATTGATTTAAGGGAAAAAAAAAGAATCTCGTTATTTCATACTCTGTACTTCAGAGTTGATAGATGGAGTTTTCATTTAGCTCTAGGCGATAGTAAACAGCTTAACTTCGTCATTGAAAGTACTATTTTTACTCCAATCGGAAGAATATTTATCTTACAATTGAATTTCTTCAAGATATTAAATATAGTTCTTGATCATACTAAGATCAGTAGGATGATTATTCATATTCATAGATATATCAACAAGAAATGTTATTATTTATTTTATAGATATTTCTATAAATATCTTTAAATTTGATCTATAACAACGAAGTCATAAGATACATCTTCTTAACTTAGAACAATAATAAGTGTTTGTGTTGCTTTACGTTCTTTTTTCATGAGTGAATAAGCTTTACGTTTAGCAACTCGAACATTACTTGTTGATGTTATAACTGTTGTTGGTATGGCTGAACCATCGGAATTAATTTTAGCTTTTAAACGTATTTTAACACGTTTAGCTGGATAATGACAATGATTATCCATATCTGTTTGTGAACTACGATTTTTTGGGTGGGTGTGGGTGTGGGTGGATGAGTGTGGGTGTGGGTGCGGGTGTGTGTGGGTGTGTGTGGATGGGGTGTGAGTGTGGGTGTGGGCATTAACCTTCCTTTCATTTATACCCCCAGCTAACACCCACACTCACACCCACACCCACACCACACCCACACCCCACACCCACACTCACACCCACACCACACCCACACATCACACCCACACCACACCCACACCTCACACCCACACCACACCCACACCCATTTATTCCGGATGGAAAAATCTTCTGTTTTTTTTCGTTGTTGTTGTGCACAGTTAGTGTACATTATTATTCGAATTGTATGTTATTTATGTTAGCAGATACATACCAACTTATATCACAGCCTGTCAGATGGCTTTGTAATCTGACCCAGCCGAGAGAAACTGTTTGTCCTGCTTCGGAGAAAGCAGTGTAGCACTGGGGAAGGCCCTTCTGTTCGTGGGTCCCTGTCGTTGTTATTTGTACGTTATACCTACGATCATGTCCTACCAGTCCGGCGTGGTCCGCTCTGTGTGTACCTGTTGCACGCTTACAGGGCCTCTTCCTGGCCGCGCGCGCGCGTATACGCGAAGTGAGTGAATAGAAATTCAATAAGAGTTTATTGAGCAAACAAACGAGAAAAAAAAGAAATTTACATTTTCTTTTTTATGCGGTCAATACTACTCATCACACTCTTGATATGANAAGAAAAGATGCAAGACTAAGTAGCATGAAATACTTCCAATAACTCCTTGATACATTTCAGAGTATTGAAAGTTAAAAAAGGTTTGGGACAAAAAATGGTCATTCCCGCCCACATCCTTTCACTTTTTTTCCAGTTTTTGTAATGCTTATAACTTTTGGAAGAAAAGTCGTAGGAAAGGCGGCGACCCTTCATTTTCTTCAGAATTTTGTGTTCTGTAAGTTGGTACTGTTAGAAACGACCTATTACAAAGTCTTCTGAAACCTGACAAATACGCTTTGGGTTTTATAGAAACCTTGCTACCTTAAATCATCTATGAAATTTTGTTATAAGATGCATTTGATAGAGCTCTTCATTGGCTATCCGAATCACTATTTGGATTTCAGTTAGATGCTTATTATTGCAGAAAAAATCAAAAATACATTTTCGTTTAAACTTTTGTCTTTGACTGTATATATGAATTATATAGACAATAAAATTTTCTTCTTAGAGAAAAACATGAATAGGACATACGTAATTGTAGTCAGAAGTGTTCCTTGTTGAATTACTCTTGATTTTCTTTCATGATCGTTCTTTATTTGACCTGAACAATACGAACAAGATATTGAGTCAATCTAGATAAATTCAAGAAAATTATACTAAATAATAAAAGAAATTCTTTTCATACAATATCAATATTTGTTAATTGAGAAATAATCCTTTCCAATGTCGTACTTGTTTTATTTACTGGTAATGTTAAAATTTGAAATGGTTCAGCACGAAAACGTACATGAGAACAACTAGAAGAATTTTTCTTTTAGGAAAAAAAAACAAAAACAACAAAAGATTAAATTTTATTCTATTTACTTGTTACAACAATAAGCATGAAGATATTGTCCAGAAAAAATTTGTTTTATAACTGAACCAAGTTGAATATGATGAAGTAACCAAGTAAGATCAACGTATTGATTTATATATATTGATTGTGCATCAAGATTATCTAATGTTATTTTATTATAAAGCTAAAAGAATAGAAGACAAAAATAAAACTATTTTTTTTTCATAGTTTTTAAAATATTTTCTATACTTGTGCTTCAGTTTCGACAAATATTTTATTTAGAAAATCAATTGAAAATGTTGTTAATTTTTGATTTTGTACTTGTTCAGTTACACTAAAAATACATAATATATAAACTCAAAAAAAGAAAAAAAAACACATCGAATTTACTTTGTTGAATAGACTAGCGTTTGTTTTGATAGAGCATTATTCAGTACATCAATAATACATTGAAATAATTCTCCTATATCTGTTGTTGCATGTTTTGTTAATAAATTTGGATAGATAACATTTAATTTTGATATAAATAATGATGTATCAATAAGTGTATTCCAATGTTTATATTCTGTTGTACGATGATCATTTCGTAATTGAAAAATAAGATCAAGAAAAGTAGATACGATTGAATCATAATTAAAACGTGAAAACTAAATTAATCAAAACAAAATAAATTTTTCCATAGTCATAATTATGAATTCAAACAAAACGAGAGATATAGACCATCTTTGATTTCTCATAAGAGCTATCGTATTTAGCGCATAATTTTCTAACGTAATCTGGTATCATAGCTCTCAGCGAACTGAGTGTAATGCTAACTGCCACACTAATGAAATTTTTTAACGTTTCTTTTGCGTAACAATACATTCAATGCATAGACCACCAGTTAAGTGTTATTGTTTTTGATCCCGTTCATGTCCGACGATCAGATTTTATCTTCTAGAAGATTTTTTTTTGTTTCTATATCTGTACTCAATCATGTCACTAATAACGAGCACGAAACGATTTCTTTTGTTTTCAAACGTGCAGTATTTGTAAATGAAAATGTATGCAGTCAAAGTCGAAGGAACAAAAGTTTATAGGACTCTGTTTTTAAGAATATTTAGAGTAACTCAACATAAACTTGATAGCTAAGAGAACATTTAGAATTCAGATATAAACGCATTTTTTCTTTCAAGTTCAAGACTATCAAAGCTGTATTGAGAAAGATATTTTTAAGACAAAGTATAACCATAATTAGAAATATGAAGATCCAGTGATTATTTTCTCTAAATTGATAACTAATCCGAGTTTGTTTTTTCTGTAGCAAAAAAATTAGCAAAATGATATTTTATAAAAGAAATTATTCTTGATGACAAAAAAAAAATCATAAATAAAATCAATCACAGCTCTAAATTTCCGTTTAATTTCAATCATGCAATCAAAAGTTTTTTTTTTTCTTTTAATTCCAATAATATTAAAAGGAAACATCTACAATTTCGTTCTGAAAGAACAATACGAATGAATACATCAATGCAAATTTGCAAGCTCATAGATGTTTGCAAGTACTATATACTTTAAGTAGTAAGTCTTTCGTAGGTCTAAAGTAAAAGAAAAACAAACTTCCTTTTCTTTATACGAAATTATCTAATTGAAGTCGATTAGGTGGGTTTTTTTTTGGAAAAACCTTGTTTTTTGGACTTTAGGTTATTTTACAGGATAATATATCCGTCATGGTTGACTGATTACATTGCACAATACCTATTCAATAGATACTGTGTTCAAACCTCGGTGTCATCAGTCATGAAATGACTTTGGATAAGGCTGTGATTCTCGGATTACTCGTCCGATAACATGCTGACTAACTGGTGATATACATCTGTCCTCGTGGTTAGTCAGTATATACCAGAAATGCAAGAGCTCTGTGTCAGGTCAATCTTCTGTCCAACGCTATAGCTAGTATTAGTTGTAAAGATGATAATTTCAATATCTTGCAGTTCGAATCTATATACATAATCTATTATATCAATAAAAAGTCATATAGTGTGCACTAAATGATACATGTATGAAGAATTATTATCCATATTAAGCTTCAGATAGCTAATAGAACACAACAAAGAATCTCTTAAATATCATTACTGATCTATTTCTTACATTTATATTTCGTTGTAATGATGAATAAAATGTATTAAGTGATGCTAAACTTTGTAATAGAGCATTTAATGAACATGTTGTTCCATGCAAATTAAAAATACCAGGTCTTGATAATGCTTGAACAACCGATGGCTAGAAATTAACACAATAATAATAATAATAATAATAAAACGAATTTTAAATAATAATTTCATACTTGCTGAAGTCGAAGATCATTTATCGGTTTTAGATGATAACTATATAAACATTCTTGTGGAAGTCTTTTTGTTATTATTGGTTTCGGAGATGAACGATTAATAATATAATTTGAAATAAAATTATATAAATGTTTTATAACTGATCGACATATTTGAATAAAAATATGGCTAAATATTTGAAAGCCATTTTTTATTATGTCAAAACGTTTTTCTGTATAAAGTATTCCAATAATATGGATAAGAAGAAGAAATATTAATAGAAATGTTATATGATGATAAAGTGATATAAAACCAATTAAAAGACCAAAAACCAAGCATTCATAGACAAATATATCAAAACGATTTTCTTGTCTAAACAAATTATTTGAAAACAAAAAATAAAATAAAATAAAATAAATCGTACATACCTATTATTAATAAGAAGAAATTTTGTGATATTATCAATAATTAAATAAATAATAAATTCAATTATATTATTTAATAAAAACCACATTATTGTTGATAATATATGCAAACCACAAACTATATTTTTCTAAATCGAAAAAAAAAAACAATTAAATATTATTCGTCCATAATTTAACCAATCCAATACGTTGAAAACATACTCGGTGACTCCGTCTTTTGTTTTTCATATCAATTCTTCGAACAATCTAATCATGTTTGGTATTATTAAAACTGTTCAATTATCAACAGCAACAGCTGTTCGAACATTTCATGCGACAAAACCCTTATTTTTATCTGCTAATACTATTAAAGTAAGGAACGCGCAAAATTATAATTTTAAACAATTTTTCATTTTAGGAAGGAGCTACTTTACCAAAACATACATTGTATGAAAATGAACCAAAAAATAAAGTAAACATTACAGATGTTTTTGCTGGAAAAAAAGGAAGTAAGTAAAATGTCTCTCTGGATTAATTTCTAAATCGTTTTCTTGTTCAGTTCTATTCGGTGTACCAGGTGCATGTAAGTTTAAATAATTTTCTTATTCGAAATAATTATTTTATTTTTTTTTTATTAGTCACTCCTGGTTGTTCAAAGGTTAGCTGTGATAAATTATTTTGTATAATTTTTTGGTTTTGTATTTTAGACTCATTTACCTGGTTATGTTAGTTCAGCCAAGGAATTTCAACAACTTGGTTATGATACAATAGTTTGTGTAACTGTTAATGATCCATTTGTTTGCCAAGCTTGGGCGAAACAACATAATGCCGAAGGACAAGTAAGAAAGATAACGTTATTTGCTATGTATTAGAAGGGAAAAATTTAGTATAAAATTAATAAAGGTAAAACATAAGCTTTCTTTAATGAAATCAGATTACGAAACCTAATCCCTTCTTTAATTGGCTTAGTCAATTTCCGTACAAAAAAACAAAGATTACAACTGACCGAAGTTTCATAGATTCGACTATCCTATGAATTGCTAATATTATAATGATGCTTAAATGGAAGCAGAAAAGTGTTACGAGAAGAATATAAAGAAGTCATGTAAATTGAAACGAAAAATTTTACATTGAAGAATAACGTATATTTATGATCAAGAATGTCTGTAATTCTATTTTGACGACAGGCAAGGTCAGACTTTCCATGGCAATAAACGTTGACGAAACGGATGGATTAACTTTATAAATACATGATTAATAAACATTGTAGACAAAATATATCATAATAAAATCTAAACGAGTTCGTCCTCAGGAGCCTTTGAGGCCCACTTAGGGTTATTTTACTGAGTTTGTGACATGAAGCTTTACCCAAAGATTGCGGTATGTACCTAAAGCTGGGCCGAAAATTTAGTAAAACTATCATAGTTCAGTTCCAAAGGTCCATGGGAACGAATCCTTTAAGACTTTTGCTAGTCTCTCCAAGCCAATATGAGTTCAAAACGGGTAGTATCAATTCAGATAGTTCTCTTATCAATCCGATTGATAAAAATTTTCTTTTGTTATTTTCCAGCATCAAAGTTACTCCATTGTATTTTGTGATAATTACATTTCAAAAATGAACTTTTTTCTTGAAAATTCAAAAAGATATAACAAACATATGGATAAATTCGATAGTCAATTTAGATTTTTGATAGAACATTTCTTCTTTAAGTCAAGCATAATCGCAGAATCCGTATTCCGTCTTAAATTAGACTCAGAATATTTTACGGTTGAGAGGTATAAAGAATGAGTTACGGTTTTGTTACATCAATTCACAGTGACTAGTGTTCAACTTCTATGGATGTACCATCTAAGATAGCAAAGTTCAGTTGTGTAGGAATCTACAACTTTTTTTCATGAAGTCTTTCGTTCAAGTTTTTGACAAAATCAGATATATAACTTGTAAGCAAGTGAATATGAAAAGCCATGCTGATTCGTTTGAATATTTCGCAGTTGGTAAATACAGTAGGCATGAAATTTGTTTATCTTCGAATTATTATTTTAATTTGTTGAAAGTCAAACAATATGCTCTGATAATTGAGAGTTCATGTTCATTTTTATTGATTTTAGGTACGAGTATTAGCCGATCCTGATGCAAAATTTACCAAGGTAAAAAAGAAACGGAAAATGAAAGAATGAAAAATATTTTCTTATCATATAATTCTAGGCTCTTGGACTCGAAAAAGATATGACTGCTGTATTAGGCAATGTTCGATCATCTCGGTAAATTGATTTTAAAAATTTTCACAATATTTATTCTTTCATATTTTAGATATGCCATGATTATTGATGATAATAAAGTAAAGAAATTATTTGCTGAACCAGATGGTACTGGTTTAACTTGTTCTGTATCACAAAAAGTTCTTGAAGCGATCAAGAAAGGTGATCTCACTAAATAATGTGACTGATTTTCACATGTTCTTTTATATATGTATTCTCGCGATGGGTTTTACATTCTTTTTCTCATTCTAATGAAAGTTGTTCTATTTATTCAAGCACATGATGTCTTAGATTAATAATCATAGAAGATTATATCAAATAAAAATATCATACTTTGTTAATGGTAAAAAAAAATGAACATTTATCGTAAATTTACTATCTAACGAATGAACGTTCCTCAGTGTCCGATCGCTGTTGTGCCTGGAACTATTGCCATTCGATCGATTGTGATGAGAAATGAAAAGCTTTTGAGTCTTCGCATATTAATTTATGGGTGTTTTAGTCGAGGACATGATGTGGGTGTGGATCTTCTGTATAGATACCTTCAAACTCATACCCACACCCCATTTACTCATTCTGAATATTATAATGTTGAAAATATCAGTTCAAAAACGATTTTCCGAAAAGATGATAGTAATTGAATTAGACACGGTATATCTTATCTTTGTTTAAATATAACGAACAGACCTATCATATTAATTCTAATCAAGACAGAATAAGAAATGATCAACGAGCGTATGCGAGTGTCATACTCGAAATAAAATTTAAATAATTTTCAGGATTGCAATTTTGATAATTATATTAATTGGGTATGATGTGTATGGAAACATCATCTTATCATTTAGTAATTCATTTTTCATTTTTACAGTTAATCTATTTCTTGTGCCTGATGTTTATTACAGCTCTCAGTTTGTTTCCATTTGTGATTAGAACGATATTCGCTTGAATAATCGAAAACTCACATGAAGATGCCTTTCTCAATTCTATTGTCAGTTTCTGTGAAACACGATTTTAAAAGAGTGTTGATATTTAGCAATGGAAATGTGGATCCCCGTCTCACAGACATCAAAGTCCACGTCAAAGTTAGTATGATAGTTGTTCTTTAGCTTTCTTTCGCACTCACTACAAAATATTGCAATTAATATCTTTTATAATCGGCATGCATTAACAGTAGGTAGAAATTCATAAACAAAAAAATATAGTGATAAAGCCCCACTCTTACGGAGGTTGTACGGAAGAGTGATAGGAGACTGAGGAATCATTTCCCACTCTCACGTCGCTCACCATCGTGCATACCCCAGATTCACGCCCAAACACTCAAGCCACACTATCGTTCTTCACGTTCTGATTAAGTTTGTATTATTCTTGCTTTGTATTTCAGGGTAATACTTTCTTTATGAAACCATAATGAGTGTATGGATTCGGCATTAGAAATCAATGTTTCTTTCTGCTACTCATAAGAGGTATTCAAATTCATCATATAGTGATTTTGTATTCATCTTTAATTGTTATTGTATCGGACATCATGAGTCAAATGTTACAGTGGTCTGATTTTGTTTTTTGTAGAGACGAGACCCATTAATGTTGAATTTGTTTTTTCAACACATATTTTCTTCTGTCAATTTATTACTATGTATACGCCCTTGTATAATTGAATATGAAGAGAGTCGTCATGGTTGAGTGAATAGACCAGGAGCTTTTTCCTACTCGACTGACTCAAAACTAGTTTGCGTCAATTTCCTACATCAATCAGTAATATACAGTATACCTTTGACAATAAACAAGTTCGATCTGTTTTTGATTTTTACTCATGGAATCAACCCTATGGTATTGCGACAACTGTGGTCGACAAAACAGCGGAAATCGATATCAATGTCAGCAGTGTCGAGGATTTAATACCTACGATTTATGTGACCATTGTATAGTAGACGCACCAATAATACATCCAAATCACACATTCGTATTGGTGCAACGAGGAGGAACTGGTATTCCAACAGGTAACCGGGGTTGGGTATGGCCATCATATTATGTAACATGGCAGACGATGGGATATTGGTAGCAACCTACCTTTTCGCGGTTGCCAAATGCACGATAGCAGACAGTGAAAATGACATACGAATATATATGACAAAGCATTCATATTTATCTTTTCTCTTGAGCCAAATATTCTTTAAGTTTCATTACTCTGGAAACACAGATAGAGTTTACACATACTCATGATTGCAAAAATAAATAATCACACTTTTTTTTCAGCTGTAGATCAACTGTCGACAGCTAACCTCATAAGCATTGAACCCTCAAAAAGAAAGTCTGAAAATATTATGCTTGAAATAGGCAAATTAAGCTATATTACCATAAAAAACGCTTTAGTGCCCAAGGGTGCGATCTTTTGCAGCGCCGCCCCAATTCAGACCGCATAGTAAAAAAGACTTTCTTAGAAGCTACAACCAAATTGAACTAGATATGTCTGATTTCATGTGTAAAAATGTGCCACCCTAAAGAACGGATATTTAATATCGATGCTATTGACTGTACGAGTAGATGATTCATGACTATGTATGGAATATTGGTTATTCTTCAAAATGAACTGGTAACGAGAAAACACTCAATATTAAACCAATTTTGACTATTTCAGCATTGATGTCCAATAACTGCATTTTGTGTTCATAGAGGCTCGGCAGTTCACAACGAATAGACACTTTGATCGTATAGGCATGACGGTGTGAACCTATTAGAGAAAGATGATTTTGTTTGTTCACGGACAGATCTTTGCGAATTTTCAAAGTGTCTAAATATGCTCGTATGAAATTCAAATGCTCACTATCCTGCTCACAAGATAATATATTCGTTTGCATGTTTTCAGTTCGATGAAAACCAAATCTTCCATTAATCAATAATAAGTCTAGAATGTGACATGAGTATGGGTTGAGTGCCGAGTGTGAGAGCATTTATTTCATACTCTCACATCACTCTCCAATCTACATCTCAGATAGACATCGGAACACTCACACTCGCACCATCTTCCTTCACATTCTGATTAAGTCTGTACTATTCTTGCTTTTTATTTGAGAGCAATAATTTCTTTATAAAACCATAATGAGTGTATGGATTCGACATTAGAAATCAATGTTTCTTTCTTCTACTCATAAGATGTATTTAAATTCATCATATACTGATATTGTTTTCATCTTTAATCGTTATTGCATCGAACATTATAATTCAAGTGTTGCAGTGGTCTGTTTTTGTGTTTCGTAGAGACGCAGTCAATTAATGTTAAAGTTGTTTTTTCACACATATTTTCTTCTGTCAATTTATAATTATGTATAAGTCATTCTTTAATTGACTGTGAAGAGAGTAGTCATGGTTGAATGAATTACCCAGTAGCCTTTTCCTACTTGGCTGATTTGAAATTACTTCGTATCAATTTCTCACATCGATCAATAATATACAGTATGAGATATGTGTGGATGGCTATGCTGATGGTATATATGTGGGTGTCAGTATTTTTATAATAGAAAGGCTCAAAGCATTATTCGATGCGTTTCGATCACTGCTCGCACAGTCATCGTCGAATATGTCGAGAACTTTGCACTACATAATATCAGTTCAATTATTAAGCGACACCTATATATAGATTTGAGATTGTTCTTACGGAAGTCAAACACATCCGTCATAAAGAACAAAATTTAAATGAGTACAATTAATATTATTGTAAATATCGTAGTAATTCTATACAAGTACCACAGGTCCTGCGTATTTTCTGAACGTTTTATGAAAAAACAAGGACTCTTCTATGAATTAGAAACAATTGACCATGGTTTCGTAGGTTTCGGTTCCGAAAATAGTTGCACAAAGAACTAACAAATTGTCTGTACAGTCATATCTATTTTTTTCATTTTTCTCTAGTACTTGCTTAGAGTGAATTTCAGATTTTCATGCTGCAAACAGCACTTGTAAATAAAAGTGGATATTTCCACATGATCTCCGATTTCGATTAAGTTTCAGAGTTTATAGAGCTTTTCATTTTAAGGATTTTGATAAAAGCAGTTTTTTTGCACAATTGTCTCCGGTAGTTTTTGATAGTTTTGTACATTAAAACAAGATTAAAAATAAAATCCAACATCATATTTGGATCTCTCGTAATGAGGCGCATCTGACCACATTACAAAAAGGATCCATTATATTTGATTCAGCTCATGCTTCTCACAGGTAAAAGAAAATGATCTAATATTTTGCATTTCATCGTAGTTTCATAAAAGATCTCGTATGAAATAGCAGAATTGAAAGCTAAAAGTTTTTTTTCGTGAGCGGACAATCATGTTGCAGTACTGTGTGCTGATATGATCGGTGATCAGTCGGACCGTGTTTGAGACTCGGTTTTTGTTCTAACTCAAGTCAAGTTCAGTGTGATTAGCTGTGTCTCACCATGAAGAATCCGAATATGGTGATCGTGGATTTTATTTTTAATCTTCTTTGACTCTACAAAACTATCGAAAAATATTGGAAACAATTGTGCAAAAGAACCGCTTTTTTTGCGAAATTTCGAATTCTACTGCTTAAAGTACGTTGGATATTTCTCCATTAAAATAGAAGTTTTTTAAAAGATGTTTTTTTTTTCGAAACTCTTAGAATTAAAAGTTCTACAAATCTTGAAGATTTCATCGAACTTCTAGAACACTTTGGTACAACGTAGTTGAAATCCCATGGAAATACTAATTTATTTTTGAAACATGAGTTCCAAGTAAAATAATATCATGCTGAAGATTTTCACATTGAAGTGTTGGTATGTTTATCTGTTGTTTGAACTAAAATGGCTATCTTTTCTGTAAAAACATTGATTTGAAGAAGAAAAACTTTCTTTTCCCTGGACAATTCAATATGTTGTCTAATCTGGACAGAGCAAAGCCCACAAAATCGTTTTTCTAGAAAACCAGCATATAAAGGTGCAAGAGGCCTTCTCAATTTCATATTCATAATTAGCATGGTTGATAACATATAGTCAATTAGATTTCGATGACACACCGATTGATCGATTGAAAGCATTTTCTCATTAGATTGAGCCTAACCACTATATCCTAGTGGCATCTATGATGCTACGTTCTTTTATAAATAAGATAATTGAATTGAAAATTTATTAAAATCTTCATAAATTTTCATTGAAATTAAATGATAAAAGTTTTGGTTGGCTGAAAAAAATTAAAACGATAATTTGCAAATCAAATTTGAGATGATATCCTCCTTCTTCTCTTCCTCTCTCTTTAATTGATATGATGAAGTGCAGGCATTTGACATCGACTGAACGAACAAAGGAAACAAACGATGAAGCACACATGATATTAAAAAAAAACAAATATTTCATGTCTTCTTTTTTCTCATCCTGTCGGTATGTTTCTCTAATCCTGATGATTGCATAACTTTTTTCTTTGTTATGAAAGTTTTTCTTATTCTCTCCTTTTTTTTCTGTCTGTTTTACGGTCATGTCGCATAAATACGTGTTACGAATTTTAAAAAGATTACTTTAATTTTTTTTTAATTTTTTTAAAAGACAGATTTTTTTTTTGTAAAGTCAGTAATGAGCATTATGGGTATTTATTGTTAGCATTGAAGATAGTTTTCTAAGCTTATTAAATGAGGTAAGTACAATTAATTTGGTGATCTTGTAATTTAACACGATCTTTAACAGATACTCTTAGTTACTTAAGTTTAAGTACTTTTATCTGATTCGACAATTATGAACAGTGTCTTGTTAGGTAGTTTTTTTTGTCTAATACAGATTAGTATTAGAGAGAAAGAGAACAACTATACATATTTGTTTCCTACATATATGTATAGAGATGTTGACGCTGGTACGTTGTGGATAATAGTAGTGAGTAATGGTTTATATCAATGGAGAGTATACAAACTAAAAGCAAGGAGATATTTACATTGTTGTCTGTCGATTATAACGAGAGCGATGACAAAGAAAAAGAATAGATAGACAATTATAAGACGATTGGACTACCCATAGATCACGTTTTTATATTTTTTTCTACCTGTTCGCACGTTTTTGTCTATTGATTTTAAGCTAAAATATTCTGTCATCTTTTTCTTATGCTATATATGTATAAAAATGATTGCTGATAGACATGTTTTTTTGCTTTTTGCTTTTTATTTTTTCATTTTTGATAGCTGATTCGATAATGATATTATAAATAATGGTATTTTATGTCTGTTACAAAAGAAACAAAAGAAGTCTAATGAACTATTTGAAGAACACAGATGGAATATTAGTTTCTTTTCAAGAACGATCTATTTATGAGTAGTGTCGCATCTTGTATTGATTGTTTAGAAGAGTCGTAGAATCGAATATTTTTGTGTGTCATAATGAAATTATAAAGTATATTCCATAGGCTCTATTGCATTTAAGTTTTCTATTGCTTTTTTTTCACAGTTCGATTTTATATTTTAATATATTTAAGAAGTTTTTTTTCTTCGACTCTAATTGAAAAATTCTGAGAATTTCTTAGAAGTAATATTATGATTAAAAAGAACTCGTGAAATAACTATTTTGCTTTCAATCTGATGACAATCAAAATTAAGTATGTGCTATTTCCATTCTATTGAATTTAACATAGTCTCAGCTAAATGATACAATTAGTATACATTCTACCGTTGAACCCTTAATAACTGATGACAATGTAATACAGTTGAAATTAATAGAGATAACAAATTATTGTCCGAGATAAATAGGCTAGACTGTTAATCAACTGACAAACCTCTTTCCAATCTCCTCTGATTTTAATTGTATCTTTGGTTTGCTTCCTTGTAAGATTATGCAAAGTTCGTATAATAAATGCAAATGAATATTTATAAACTCGATAGAATCATAGATCAAATACTTATTGACAAAATACAAAAAAAAACTAATACTAGAAATAAATACAACTAGGTTTTGTAGTCCAAATAAGAATAAATTTGCGCTGCTTTAGATTTGATACAGTTTTGACTAAACAGATATTTTTATCATTCATGTTAAATCGATACAGATTTTCTTTTTTGACATCTTTATTGAATAATTCTTATACGAATAACTGCATGTTTTCTATTTCATTGTAAAAGTACTCATACAGACTTTCTTTATTTTGTTTTTTTTGCCATATTTTCAAGTATTCATGTTAGTATTGCATTTTTTTTTATATAGCTGCCTACGCAAAGTAACACATGTGTCCAACATCATCCTACTCAACATTCCATATACGTTCTTTGCTTTTGTATTTCATTTTCGTCTTTACAAATATATAAAAAGCATCATGTTTAATTCATAGCGAAAAGTAGGCACTTTTCTGACTTCGAATATTTTTACGTCTTTTAATGAAATTGAAATAATGAGAATGTTTATGGTTTTTCTTTTTCTTCACCATTTTTCTTTTATTGACATAACAATCATCATCCAATATTGATGTTTTACTTTGAAAAATAAGTTCTAATTAATGAAAATAAACAATATGAAAGTACATTTTTATCACAATGGATATATGCACATGTATTAAAATGTTTCTTTTAAGGTGAAATCAAAACATAATTATTGTTTTTTATTTTTTTTTGTCTGAAGTACTTCATACTTGTTTTCAGTACGAAATTAATTCTTGATGCTATGCATTTCTCTCTATATATTCTTAGATTTTTGTAAAGAAAATAAAACCAAAGAATAATGCCACGAAAAAGTGCCATGCGTGATAATGTGAACGTAGTTCGTTCTCAATTGCCTCATTTATCTGATCTTTCACGTGAAAAGATTGAACTAGCTTTACTTTATTATGAATTAAATATTGACGAAACTGTTGAAGCATTTAAAAGAAGTATGTTCAAATATATTGATAGTTGTGTTTATAAATAATAAATTATGTATTTTAAGATGGTGCATTTGAAGCTCTCGGTGGTTGGACTGAAATGGGTAATGGTCGAGGAAATGTAAGTATTTTTTTTCCAAAATTAACTTTATTATTTTATTTGTTTTATTTTATAGGCTTCATCGAAACGAACAAATAATAATACTCGCAATAGAAATAATAAACCATCAACATTATCAACAAATTCATCATTACAAAATCGTCCATCCAATGGAATTTTACGACCATCTCAACGTGTATCAAATCTATTTCAAACATTTGCTGAAGGTGGTATACCAACAATAACTACTAACGGTAAATAAATTTTGATAAGAGAAAAAGAAAAACAAAAATTTTCGTTTTGGTTATGTAAAATTTTCATTTTAGGAAGTACAACAATGTCTAATACAACTGCTTGTTCACCGTCATCAATATCATCATCATCTTTTATTGAACAATCTGATAATAATCATGGTAAAACAAACAAACAAACAAACACTGATTTTTTCTTTTATTAATAAAAAATTTTCATATTCTAGATTTAACAATAACTCAGGATGTTATTCAAGATGAAACAACCGAACAACACAATTCAACAAAATCACAACTTCGAAATCATATGCAAAATCATGATGATCCAAGCTCATCAACAACACATAATCATGAATTATCAGCAATTAACAATAGCCAACAAACAACAACAGCAATAATTGCTAATAATAAAAAACGTAAAAATAAAATAAATATTTTCAAAAGAATTTAGTTTTTCAAGACCCGAACAGTTGCTTGCTATAGGACCCTATTTAACTATTATAGTGAGTAAGTGTCCTCGCGCAACTGTCCTAAACCCATTTTTTCATGAGTTTCTGACTTGAGAGGAAGTTTGAATTCGCAGCAAAATTGAAATCACGTGACTCTCTAGATAACATCTGTAGGGATATACAGGTATAAGACTATATATGCTTATACCTCTATATCTCTTTGACTAGACACCTTTTTTATTTCTATTTTGTTCAGAAGAGCTGCAAAGAATGCCTGTGCACTACCCTTAGTTAAAAAACATCTGGAATGGAGTACGAATAAAAAAATATCTTCATGAAACAAAAGACTATTTTTCTGCTTGTGTATACCCGCATTGTAAAATTTGTTACTGACTGAAGTTTTTTTTTTTTTTTTTTTTTTTTTTACAGAATTTGAATTTTTCAAAAATTTAAATTGTTCAACATATGAATTTTGTTTATATTTTAGTTCTTACAAAATCAGTGAAAGATCTTCAACGACAAACATCAACATTAACAAATGTTGAAATATTATTCAATAATGAAATTAAATCATCAATAAAACGTATTGATGATACATTTAAACAAATTCATGAAATAATAAAAGAACGTGAAGTTGAACTTTATTTAGAAATGGATAAAGTTAAAGAACAAGGTTTAAATATAATACATAATCGACAAAAACGTGGTATTGAATTACGTCAACGTATTGATCGTTGTGATCGTCTTGAACCACTTGAAATAGATCATCTTCGTCATGATATTAAACAATTTGTCACTGATCGTCGATATGATCTTGGAGAAGAATTAACAACATCACATCGTTTTGAATATGATCAAACAATAATAGATTTATTAAAAAATTTTGGTCATATTTTACCAATTCAAAGAACACGTTCAACATCAATATCATCTGGATTTATGGAAACAAATATACCAACAACAGAAAAATCAATAAAAGATGTAACATCAGAAAAAGTAGAAATATCAAAGATAAATAATCGCATACCATCAATATCATCTTCATCAAATGAAGTTGGTTTTATTAATAATCAAGAAAAACCATTACCACAACGAATTACTAATAATCAACAATTGAATGGTGAAGTTATCAATACTTCCGCAAATGATTATGTTACCGGTGATTATCATCAAAATTTTGATTCTTCACAAAAAACGAATGGTTCTTTTCAATATTATGATGATACAAATAATTTTCAAAGTAAATATTAAAAACATAGTCTCTTTTGAAAATTTTTGTTTTTTCTGTTTTTAGATGTTAATCGTCGTCGAGCACAACAACATTCTCAAGGTAATTTTCAACATCCACGTCCAATACTTAATTATTATAATGGTAATAATCGTCGTAATGGTTCAAAACAAAACAATAATCGTGTAGATTTACCTAATAACAGTAAACCAACAAATACTTATCGTCGTCCACGACCTCCACCTCAACCTTCTCAATCCATTGTTCAAGTACAAACTTAAATTTTGTCCATAGAATTCTTACATTTGTGTTTAAAAACATCCATATAAATGAGCAATTTTATTCTTGGCTGATATAAACTTTTTTTTTCTTCCTTTTTGACATATTTATTCTTCTTATTATTATTTCGATTACAACAAAAAGTGACTAGGACAAAAAAAAAAGAGAAACTATTTATTTATAAACTTAACAGATAATTATTGTACTACGGAAGAATGATGTTTTCATTTTTATTTGTTAGCTTTGGTGCTCTTGTTTTATTCTTAGTGTGAAAGAACGGTCATAAAGCTCAAGTTTTCATTTTTTTTAGTTCAGTGGGATTTTTTGTTTGTTTTCTTTCATATTTATTAATTTTCATTCTTTTCTTTTCTCAATTGTTACTTGCAACAGAAAAAGCGATTTTTATCATGTATTCTATTATTTATGTTTGATGTTATTCTGCTTGTTAAATTTGTGCATGCGTTTGGCATTGATCGAAGAAGAGAAAAAAAGACACTGGTGTTTTAGAGAAAAAAAAAACAAAATAAAGCAAAAATCAGCAATAAAAAAAAATCATATATCTTTAGATTTCGCATGTTTTCCTAATAATTTTAGTTTTGATTATGATCAATGAAATAGAAACTTGATCTTATTGTATACAAAAGTTCAATTAGTTAATGTCGATATTATTGTTTTAAGAGGAAAAAATAATACGAAAAATATGTACTACGACAGTTTGGTCTGACTGAAGGTCGCTGTCACCGTTACATTCCTTGCTGTACTAAATGTATCGATTGGTGTAAGAATATGACTCAATTGCTTGTGTGAAGAGGCATCTTCAGTAATGAACAAAAGTCTCTGCTTTAGTAGGTCTTTCCACAAAATTAGTGTAAATAAGCAGCACTAGTCACCTTCTGATCAGAACCACTGTTCATTCCTTCAGTGTTGTTGTTAGGCAAGATTGTAGAGAATTGAAATGCGCATTTAAAAAAAATTGGTTGTTCACGTCTTAATACTACCGATATATATGCAAAACAACGAGAGGCCCATTTATTATGCGCCACCCGTTAATATTTATCATACGAATAGATCAAGAAAGAAGGAAGTTGTTATACAGTGAAATAAGTATGTATATGGTCAGACAGATAAATTCTGTTTGACCTTAAAATACGGGCAAGATATTTCGGGCGATTGCGTTTTTAGTATTGTGTTCTCAAAAAGTTAGGTGTTCGGATGTGGTTTTCATCAAAAGTAGCGCCAGTGGTTAAGGGTAGAAATTGGGACCCCACAGACCGCGACAGACGTGGAGGGGACGGTGGTCAAGGCCGTCACAGATCATGCTAGATTGGGGACAGAGGCCATCACAGAACGTGGCAGACGGTGAGGGCAGGCACCGTGACAGATGCGTGGAGAGGGGAGAGACCATCAGAGACGGGGTTGGCGGTGGTCAACACCAACACAGATCGTGACAGAGGAGGTGGCAGAAACTATCGCGGACCGTGATAGAGGGGATAGAGACCATTGCAGAAGGTGACATAGGGGAGGGGGCAGAGACCATCACAGACCGTGAGAGATGGGGGGAGGGCGAGATCATCACAGACTGTGACAGATGGTGGAGCGGCGAGATCATCACAGACGGTGATAAATGGAAGTGGAGACCATCGCAGACGGTGACAGATGGGGGCAAAGGCCATTATAGACCGCGACAGACGAACGGGGCGGTGGCCAAGACTACCACAGATAATCTAAATAAAGCACGATTAAATCAGAATTAAAATCGATCAGATTAAGATCGTCCCATCGAGTAAAATCGATTAAAAAGAAATTTTAATCAAAATTCTCAATTCGATTATTCTGCAACTATCACGTCTTAGCGTCACTTCTATGAAGAAATTAGTGAAAGAAATGAGTCTAGTCTATTTAAGCTAACAACCGAACAACAACAACGAAAAGTGTAGATCCATATATATATACCCTAGACATAACAGAAAGGGAATTTTCCAACTTAATTTGGAAAGTACATAAAAGTAAAACATAGTACTGTGGGAAATTTCCAAAATGTATAAGCGATGATTATATGGGAAAATTCAATAAGCCACTATATCACAGCGACAGAATCGAAATTAAAATCGGTTATAATCAGAGAATTATAAACAAAATTATAATGGTCGCTCTCTGATTATAACTGATTGATAATTTCTGATTTTAATCGATTTCAATCTTGATTTTGTTGCAGAATAATTGGATTTGTGATTATGGCCATATGATTATGAAATTTTAATCGCTGAAATTTTTCACTGAGTACTACCGATGAGCTGATTCTTCAATTTTTAGCACAGAGGCTACTGATTTATTTAAATGTTCACATCAAAGTAAATTAAAAAAACGAAGTTCAAATCAGACCCAGTCTCATCGGTCCGGCTTCTGTTCAGCCAGTTTTCGGTCTCTGGTCAAAGTTTCCCCACAATTTTTGTGAGTAGGAGATTTTGCTGACATTGTTGAAGAGATGGGTCATTTGGGGACAATGAGCGTTGTCCGATTTCCACAGCACGTTCGTAAAACCAAACTGCTTTTGAGTAATCTTTCATTTTCGAACAGGCCACACCAATATTGTGGTAGTATTCAAACAGGTCGGGATGATTCGGAGGAAGAGCTTTTTCGCGGATTTTAACTGCTTTTTCGTAAAAAGAAAGTGCTTTTGCGTGCTCATTCATGTTGTCATACAGTGTACTAACGTTTGTATAGTCTACAACTAAATTAGGATGACCCGGGGGAAGAATTTTTTCGTGGATCTCAAGTGCTTTCTCGTAAAAAGTAGCTGCTTTTGAATAATCTTTCATTTTCGAATATGCCATACTGATGTCGCTGTAGGACTTCGCCAAGTCGGGATGGTCCGGGGGAAGAGTTTTTTCGAGTATTTGAAGAGCTTTTTTGTAAAATGAAAGTGCTTTCGAGTACTCGCACATGTTCATATACGTAGCACTGATGTTTTTGTAGGAAATAACCAGATTGGGATGGTTCGTATTATGAATTTTCTCGTAGATTTCAACTAATTTTTCTAGGAAGAAAACTGCTTTCGGATACTCGCCCATTTTGGAGTAGGCCGCAGCAATTTCACTGTAGGATGTAACTAGATCAGGATGCTTTGGATCAAGAGTTTTTTCGTGGATTTCAACTGCTTTTTCGTGAAAAGAAAGTGCTTTTAAGTCCTCTCCCATGTTGCTGTACAGTGTACTTATGTTTTGATAGGACTTAGCTAAATCGGAATGATTTGGAGGAAGCGTTCTTTGGAGAATTTCGATTGCTTTTTCATAAAAAGGCAGAGCTTTTGAGTGCTCGCCCATATGAGTGTACAATATGCTTATGTTTTCGTAGGATTCAACTAAATCTGGATGGTTCAGAGGAAGAGTTTTTTCCCGGATCCGAAGCCCTTTTTCATGAGAAGAAAGTGCTTTTGAATATTCGTTAAGGTTAAAATAGGTTGCACCGATGTTGTTGTAGGATTTGGCTAGATCGGGATGATTCGATGGAAGAGTGTTTTTTCGAATTTGAAGTGCTTTTTTGTAAAATGAAATAGCATTTGAGTATTTCTTCATGTTGAAGTAGGCTGAACCGATGTTGTGGTAAGACGAAACTAGATCGGAATGATTTGGAGAAAGAGTTTTTTCTTGGATTTCAAGTGCTTTCTTGTAAAACGAAATTGCTCGCCGGTATTCACCTTTGTTACGCTCAGCCAATGCAGAGAGCTGATACTGAACAGCTTTATATTTGCCAGAGGATTCTTGATCGAGTAACATCATTTGCCCTTAGTGAGCCTTTTCAAACTCGCCCAGTTTAATTAATAATTTGTTTAATCGGCTCAAACTTTTCGATCCTTTGAAAATTTCCTCTCTCATGTGTTTCGTGAGAGCACTGAGTTGAGGATCGCTGTCTCTAGTCAAGGTGAGTTGCGCTTCCCATAATAGTTTGTTATTATCGATATTTTTGATCTCACCAATGCGAAAGATTGTGTGTGTGGAAAAGAGAATCTCCTTTTCTGTTGAGTAATGACTAATGTTGTCGATTAGCGCAAACGGAGTTGAGGAAGCTGTTGGATCGATGGTCATGGTAAAAAGAATGCCCACCGAGTTGGAATTTACTAGAGCACGACGAGCGAAATCAAGTGATACATCACGATTTTCGCTAGTGGATAAGAAATTGTTAAATGACGTTAGCCCTCCTACTGACTGAAATAGTCTCTCAAAGTCTGCTTTGCATAGCCTCTGACCTCGATAGACAAGGAAGGGTACTGTCTGTTTGGGAATTTTTTTCGAATGCAGGCCTTCGATATGGCTATTTCAGTCAGTAGGAAGGCTAACGTCATTTAACAATTTCTTATCCACTGGCGAAAAGCGGGATGTATCACTTGATTTCGCTCGTCGTGCGCTNTTTTTTTTCGTTGTTGTTGTGCACAGTTAGTGTACATTATTATTCGAAGTGTATGTTATTTATGTTAGCAGATACATACCAACTTATATCACAGCCTGTCAGATGGCTTCGTAATCTGACCCAGGCGAGAGAAACTGTTTGTCTTGCTTCGGAGAAAGCAGTGTAGCACTCGGGAAGGCCCTTCTGTTCGTGGGTCCCTGTCGTCGTTATTTGTACGTCATGGTCATACCTACGATCATGCCCTACCAGTCCGGCGTGTCCGCTCTGTGTGTACCTGTTAGCACGCTTACAGGGCCTCTTCCTGGCCGAGGGCGCGCGTACGCGATAATGAGCCGAGAAAGTGAATAGAAATGCGAACAAATTTATTGAGCAAACAACAAAAAAGAATTACATCTTTTTTCGAATTTTTTCAAATGTTTCTCTATAATCCACTTGATGAGGATGAGTTGAAAGTAATTTTTCTTGAGCTATTTCAACCGCTTGTTGAACATTTTTCATTGCCATATTATATTGTCGAGTAGACAAATATAATTTCGCCAAATCGTGATATACTACAGCTAAATCCGGATGATTTTTTAGTAATTTCTTTTCACGAATTTTTAATCCTTTTTCAAAATATGTTAATGCCGTTGAGTAATCTTTCATTTGTCGATAAGTTTCACCTAAATTTATGTATGTTGTTGCACACTCCAGAGGACTACATTGAACATTTTCTTGAATATTCAGTGCATTTCGATGAAATGAAAGTGCCTTTTCATAATTACCCATTAATCGATGAACATTACCTACATTACTGTATGTTATACCAACATCGGGATGTCTCTCAGCAGTGTTTTTTGATCTATTGAGAGACACTTTTCGAAATAATCAAGTGCCTTTGAGTAGTCTTACATACCGCGATAAACTCTGCCGAACCTACTGTACGTAAAAGAAAATGCTGGATTACCTTCTTCAAATGTTTTCTGTTGAATTTTAAAAGCCCTTTGAAGAGCCTCAAGAGCTGCCGTATAATCACCCATTCGCTCGTAACAGGCAGCAAAATTCAACTGACTTTCAGCTAATGAGGGATGATTTGGAGGCAGAGCAATTTCGTAGATTTGATGTGCTTTTTCGTAAAATTCAAGTGCTTTCGAGTAGTCACCCATGTTGTTATACACTAGACCGATGTTATTATAGGAAGCACTTAGATTGACGTCATCTTCCGAGAGGTTTCATTTGTCGATTTCGAGTGCTTTTTCATAAAACAAAATAGTTTCTTGGTATTGTCCTTGATCTTTTTTTACTCCTCCAAGCTTGTCATAGATAAGTGATCTATCACTGTCGTCAGATGCCTGTTCGAGTAGTGCCGTATGCAGTTCTTCGGCCTTATCGAATTGACCAATTTTGAGCAGCAATTTACCCATTCGGTACCATCCACTGCCGTCGACCTCGCCTCATATATAATCAGTTAATTGACGAAGTTGTTCGTCGTCATCGAACGTGAGTTTCAGATCCACTTCATAAAGTGGATTTTTCTTGTCAATTTTTCGAACGTCGCCAATTCGAAAAACAGTGTGCATGAAGAAGAGAATTTCCTCTTCTTCCTTGAAGTAACTAACCTCCCGGATGGAGGCGAATGGAGTTGATGACACTGAAGGATCAACAGTGATTATAAAAAGAACACCGTCCATATTGGTTGCTCCTGAGATGCCTTCAGCGAAACAGAGGGGGACCTCTTGAGTTTTACTGGTGGATAAAAAATTACTAAAAGAAATAAGCCCGCCTTTGCTGTTGGCGAGCTTTTCTAAGGCTGCTTTCGGTAGTCCTTGACCCCGAAAGACTGTAAAAACCTTTCCATGGTATCGACTGACCTGATTCTTGTATAATGTTTCGATTTGTCGGTGTACATCGCACAGGAAGAAACCCATGCGGATGATGATATCACCGTCAAGTGTACGTAATGCTCTATTGAGCATGTTGTACGTGAAACACTGCCTTGTATACCACCATAGAGCTGCTGTTGGATTATAATTACGTCGAAATTCTTGAATAAGCTTGAGTTCTTTCTTGTTGTCATGGTATTGTTCTTGACAAAACGTCACTAAATCTTTGATGGCTTCTTGGCCATGTGCCATGTCAAGGAGAATTTCCTTGAATATTTGTGTATACATAAAAGATGGTTCTAGCTGATTAAGATCTTGGCTAGAATAACTTTTACTTGGACTAATGACACTGACCGTTATTTGGTCCTGGTTGCATTGCTTGACGGCCAGTTCCAGTTTCTTGCAGATTGACTTGATTGTTGTGTGGACGCCCTTGATTTTTGTCCAATTTCTGGCCCAAGCTTCGTGGTGTTGTTTATTACCACAGAAGATGTATATGGCATCCAATTTTGGTATGCCATGTATATCTGGAACAAGGTGTTGTCCCAATGCACCAGAGGAGATCACGAATGATGTTTCCTCTTGATTTTCTTCAAGGCTTCGGATACATTCCTCAGCCTTGGTACATGTGTTTACTTGATTGACAACATCACGCAATTGTGTTAGCGTGTGTTGGCAATCTTCATTGGTCATGTCGATGTTGTCGTCGACCCATATGACCAAATAATTTTCCGCCAAGCGTTGTCTTCGAGGGCGGCTCATGTTTGTTGCCATGTTTGCTGTGTTTTGGTGATAGGCAATTGTGTTTACTATTTATATATTCGATGTTGGATTTTTTTTCGTTTCTACTCAACAACAGTGGGAAAGGAAAAAAAATCGAACAATGTCATTTAATGTTTATGGTTATTCTTTCCAGCATTTCTTTTTCTTTATCTAGATAAGAATTACTTCAAAATAGATGCATTCGATAGCTTATCTCTTATGTTTTCTCTGTCTGCTTTTGTTTGGCGAGAACGAAAAATAACAACAAAGACGTCATCAGTTGTATTCATTTTTTACTATTCATATAATTAGGCATGCAGCAAATCCGAACTCGAGTCTGGAGTTCGGATTGGGATTCCTATATTGCAAGGTAGAGCTAATAGAAATACATCATAAAGAGCAACCTTTTCCACCATAATTGTCTTCCAGACAATCCATTTACAACGTGATGGAAAGAAACAAGAGAGATTGTTAATCAAGATTAAATAAGTCCTGATCATCTGCATATTATGGAAGGACTGGAAGTGAAAATTTATCTAAATTGAGTACAATTTTTGTACTGAATACCGTTATCTATAGTACATAAATAATACTGTCCTATCGAAAACATAATGAATTGCAGTGTATCTCTTTGAAATTTTTTCTAAAAAAAGCTTTTTGGCTGACTAATGTTATGTAGTGTGTAATTAAATCAACCAGTAAAGAGATTTTTTTGTTTTCAGATCTATATATTTATTGAATGATTAGAGTAGCATGTTAACTTCTGTATATAAGATAAAAGAATTGTTCTTTTTTTTTTGAATATATTGTATAAGATTTTCAAGAGATCTCTATGAAATAAAGTTAGATGTTGTCTAACTTATTTATATAAATTATCCTTGAAAACAGATTTAGGTAAAAAACTATGTGAAAACTAACAACGAGAAGAAATTATAAAAATCAATTTTTCGTATTGTAGATGAGATATGCATGTACAAACATTTTACGTTCAGTCTTGCGCATAAGCATAGAGAACTAATGAAGCTTGAATAATCTCAAGAGATAAATAACAGGTCCTCTATGACATTGTAGTCAACTATATTAATTTTATTTATTTGCGATACAAAATATTCAATATGAAAAAGATAACAAAAAAAAACATCGTTCAAAAACCAAAAACTAGAACTTCTTTAATCCATAAAATATTTATACAGTTTCTATTTATTTTCATTTGATAGTTTATCTTTGAGAAAAACGGAAAAACCAAGATTTTCTGAAGAAAGTCGAGCTCGTTGTTTACGGTCATAATAGGCAGATATGCTAAATGCTGATTCAGATTTTGTACCCAGAACGAGCATTACAGCAACCAGACACGGCAGTATACGGCCGTTTACGGCGGCGTATACTGCCGTATACGGCGATTTTACGGCCGTAAGCGGCCGTAAATTCGNGATAAAAAGAAAAATATTCGTATAACTTTTATGAAACATGATTTAAAAAGGCTGATGAAGTACAGAGCTAGAAAAGCAGTTCATGAAGCAGATAGGTGATAATGAAAGCACCCTTAGGTTCAGTCAAGTTCTAGTTTGGATATTTATTCAAAATTATTTTGTAAGACATGGGCAGCTAGTGTATTTAAAGGTGGTCTTAGTCGTCTTTCTATGCAAACAAATACAACACATCATGTATTAAATAATCATGCATGGCTTCAATTTATAAAATTATCTACAAATCAAAATAATAAATCTTTTTCTGCTATTATATTAACTGGTTGGTCACGTTTTGATCATTTTATGCCATTATGTGATTTATTACCAACAGCTTATCAATCTCTTATCAATAGTTTATGTATATTAAATACAGGAAAATGTATTCTTCATGATTATATGAATGATTGTTATGAATTAATGAATTCAATTGGAGAAGATTCACAATTATGTCAATCATTACCAGGTTATAAAATAGTTTCGAAAGATAAAAAGAAAAATATTCGTATAACTTTTATGAAACATGATTTAAAAAGGCTGATGAAGTACAGAGCTAGAAAAGCAGTTCATGAAGCAGATAGGTGATAATGAAAGCACCCTTAGGTTCAGTCAAGTTCTAGTTTGGATATTTCCGAACATCATTTAGAAAGTCAGTTGCCTCTCAGATTTTGAGTCATTCATTTCATTGTCTCTAGACCTATTATAGCTAACCTTGACAGTCCTTTTTTTGGTTTACTTCTACTCCTTAGTTTTATTGATTAACTAAAAATGACTGCATTCAAGACCGAACTCAAGCCTGAAAGTTTGGGTTCGGTGCATGTCTAAGCTCCGGCTTGAAATGCTCGTGCTGATTTGTGCTAACACTATATAGGTGTTATGGGCAATAGGGCCTCTTATCAAAATTTCATCCGATTTGGAGCTATGAAAAATTGTGCAAGCTTATTATTCGAATCTCAAGCAGATAAACGGAAAAGTTTTTTGTCTTTTACGAATCGATAGACTGAAAGACACAGTTTCAGATTATATATATGATTTTCTCCGGAGTGTTTTCTTCTTATTGTTTTTTTTTTATTCACGGTTAAAAAAAGACTTCTAATCCTTACTAGCAGTGTTTTTCGACGAAGGCTTCTGACTAACACTAACACAAGGAACAAAGACTTTTATGTCATTACATAATCCATATGTCATAGTATATGTTGCCTTATTTATAGGAATCTGCAAAATCACTTTTTTTGGTCCAGGTCCCGGTCTGGTCCCGGCAAGAAATGTTTTGGTCCCGGTTCCGGTCTCGATCTGGACTCGATGCCAGTTAAAAATTGTATTGTAGTCAAAAACTTCCGATTTTTGAAATCGAAACAAGGATTAATGAAAATTTTTATCAGAATTGTAAAGAAAATTGTTGTTTTTCAAATTTCTGATCACAAAAATATAATAAATACCCGAATACAGAATCTAGTTTCTGATAAAAAAAAATACCGGGACCAGCTTGAAAATTTTGGTCCCGGTCTCGGTCTCGGTCTCGGCAGGACCCGGACCGGGACCACTTTGCAGATCCCTAGTTAGACCACGTCAAACTCTCCGCTCCCACCTTTTACCAAATGTCCTTCATGCACATCTGCCCCATATTCTTGCGCTCCTATTTCTATTTTTCGCCTTTTCACATCGGAGTTAACCAACATTTTGTGCGACTTGATTAGTAGCGTTATCTGTTTGTCTTTCTTTATGATTCGGTGAATTTCAGATCCATTGTCTTGTTGGCTCTTGACAATATTTTATTATTGACGATTCAATCATTATCGCTGAACCCAATTCAAGTACTCGCTCCTGAATCAACGTGCTTTTGTTGTATCGAAACATCATTAAAATGAGTGAGTTTTTGATAATTTTTGTGACTAATGCTACCAGAATAGGAACTTTGTCATTTATATCTTTTGATATTTTGTTGGTGAATTTTTTTTGATTATTTCTCAATATTTGTTTCCAATTGATTCTCCTTTCTACATATTTAGAGACAGAAGATACTGAATACAAAATGGTAACATTCGAATATCTCAATGTAGAAAGACGAGTGCTTTTGCACAGAGATGTTCGTTTTGAACAAATACTTGTTGCTCTTAAATCTGAATTTGGTCTTCCTGCCAGTGCTTCTTTGTTATTGTTCAACATCGTGGAAAATTATTCCGTTTGTGGTTCAACAGCAGGTATTCTCTGGGGTTTAAATGATACCAAAGTACCCAAATATAGGACACTTGTTCGTGGTGAAACAGCTGAAGGTAAATATGAACTGATGAAAAGAAAGTGCAACATTCATAACCATTCTAAGCAAAGACATAGTTCTAAGAAATTTTTGCATGTTGAACTTGTGAAAAACTTTCACATATTGATTTTATATTTGCTAGTACAAATGAACTATTTATCATATAACTTTTTGAATGATACCTGAAATTTGAGAAAAGTTTTTCTCTTAGTTATAGACGTAAATAATTTTTTACTCTTAAACGAAATATTATATTTAACTTTTTTAAATTACGGTCGAATGTCAAAAGTAGCAAACAATCTTGAAAACATTATCTTTTTGTGAATTGAAAAGATGTCTTGTATAAAATTCTATTTAGTTTATATGCTCGACGAAAGTTATTTACTATTTCCTATGTTTGAATATTCTCGCTTCCGTATACTTAATAGGTTTCGATGACTTGAAACTCAAAGAAAATTCTATTTATTTTGATTGTTTTGATTCTCTCGAAAATAATCATTCGAATAGTCGAAAGATGTGGACAGATAGAATTCATCGTTGAACCATCGATCTATTAAAAAGTGACACTTTAAGGCTTCTATATAAAATTTCGATGTCCGTCGAAATATGAAACCGACACATCGAAATACCTATCGAATGACTGGTTGGATAGATGAATTGAAAAATTTGTTTTTCTATTTCCATTCTAACAGTTTATTTTTCATTTGAAATCTTCGTCAAAAATGTTTTAAAATTTAACTAGAGTTCGTAATGAAATCGATAGATTGAGATGTCTTTTTTTTATTCTCGTCAAAATAGTGCATGTCCTAATTCTACCATATTCTTAAAAGTATTTTAAAATTCAACTGTGTCTAAGCAAATTCGTCTTTTTGCAAAAAACTGGTTAACCGCTAGAAATCGTTCTTTTTCCAGTGTTTGAGCACGTATTAAACAAAATGGTTGTATAAACAACAGGATATCTAAGTTTTCAATACGAATCTGGGCAGTATTTTTCTTCGCATATATTTGAATGTGCAAATTTTCAAAAAAATTTGTTTGTTGAACTCTTTCAGGCTCCTTTTGTCTGACGCGCGTGTTAATCGCAAAAGTTCAAATTTGATGCCATTTTTACAAGAACGAAACAGCTGATTTTTCGGATTTTTAATCAATTTTAAATCAAGAAAATGTTGATTTTAGCTATTTCCTCTTTGCAGAAAGTGTCTTTTTTTGTTTCAACATTTTTTTTAAAATTATTCTTCGGTTTGTAGCTAGATAGTTAGATATATAAATGTATTCACTTCCATTTATTATCAAAAGTCATTTTCCTTGAATTTTTTGTGGAAAATGACCTAAAAATATTCTTTAGATATTGTCGAAAGGAATTTGATCTGGGCACACACTGTTATATAAATAACAAAGAAACCTCTGTATCTACTATTGTAATAAAAATTTCTTACGCAGACAAAAAAGATTCATGGAAAAAGCATTTAAAAAACATATGAAAATAGAGAGAAAAGAAAAGTCGTCTGCAGACAAATAAGAAATGTGAGCATTTCAGGATACTAATTGTGATTTTCGTTTATAAGTCAGAAAAGTTCACAGAAAATAGATGTGTAAACTAGTGCCCGGCGTGACCGCCGTGACTCACGGCAGTCACGGTCACGATCACGGTCACGGCCGTGACCGTGACCAATACTTTGTGAACGTTCGTGACCGTGACCGTGATCGTGACTGGAGCTTGGTCACGGTTAGTCACGGGAATTTTTTTCGAAA